TTTTAAATAAAAAACTACTTTTAACTAAAATGACCATACTTTAAAAGGACAAATATTTTTTCCAATAATTAAATATTATGAAATTTATTAACAAAGGTTAATGAGTTTGTACATTGTCTTTCCTTTAAGCCTAATAAGAACTTGTGTGAGGAGCGTATTAGATAAATATAATATAAAACAATTAAGCCATTAGGTGAAAGTCAATTAATAATTTTATATTACATTTTTCTAACACCCCCTCTCACAAGAGTCAATTGTGCTTGAAGTGTTGATAACGCATCAGGGCCGCCTGCCTATGCTTAACAATTTCATAATATTTAATTATATTTTTAATATAATAGAGGGCGGTGAGGATTGAATTCGTAACCACTTGGCCACGAAAAATCATTGTTTTATAGTGTATATCTCTAACATGTCCTATTACACAAGAGCATATTAGGTTTGAATGGTCGATAATGCACACACCACTTTTACATATGCTAACAAATTTCACAATACTAATTATTTATTAATAAAATGAGGGGCGGTGATCCCCACAAAACTCCTCTTCAGGTTACTCGAGTCAAGTCCAATATTATGAGTATATGACTATAGATACTTGTTTGATCAAAAAATCTCGTGAAAAAAATTGAACCATAAAACTTCTAAAGACCATATTTTTTGACTCGGGTGTCCGAATCAGGTGCTTTTTGTATAGTACACGTAACTTTTTGAGAGCTACAAGTTGGAAAATTCTCGAGTCAAAGTTATTTCCTTCCGAAGTTTTACTCTAAAATTTTCAAAATTTTGTAATGCCAATAGGTTTTGTGATATTCATAAAACTTGTTTGATTAAAAAAAAATGGTCTTTTTAAGTTTTATGGCTAATTATTTTTCAACGATATTTTTTGGATAAAATAAGTTTTTTTTTTTTGGTACATTGCCAGGAGGTATCCTCATTCAACCTTCTCCGGGAACCATGCACTCGGGGTACGGCCCGTTTGGGCTAGCCCCTCATTGTAACAGTGGGTGCACTAAGCTTCGCAACCGGAGAAAGGACGAGACTAATCCCCCAACCGAAGATTTCTGACTTATCCTCTGGCCCCCAAAGATTTTCCAAGAAACTGCTTGAGGCAGGGTTTGATCCCTGCACCAAGCAATCCCTTAGGAGCTCAGCTGCCAACTGAGCTACCCTTGGGGGTTGATAAAATAAGTTTTTATAATCATATACTCATAATATTGGACTTCACTCGAATAACCTGAGAAAGAGTTTTGTGGGTATCATAAAACCTATTGGCATTACAAAATTTTAAAAAATTTAGAGTAAAATTTCGTAAGGCCACATAACTTTTAACTCGGGTGTTCGAATCATATTTTTTTTATTCTACATATCTTTTCAATAACTAAGTGTTGGAAAATTCTCATAGAAAATTTGGTCGCAATATACTCAAGTACAAAATAATATACTCGAATACATACTCATATACTCAAATATTTGTTATTATACTCGAGTATATAAGTCTATACTCGAATATATTGCACAGTCAAGTCAACTGTCAAACAAGAAAAATAGGTAAAATATTTTGATATGGAAGCAAAATGATGATTTTTATGTATTCAAGCGCACAATGGTAAAAAAACGCATATTCTAAGTATGGTACAGTTCTTTAGATTCCTATATTCAAATGTACTGTGATTTCAGTTTCTTCTATCTCATGATCCTTGTGATTGCTTCATTTATTTGGATTATTCAAATCAATTATCATCATTGCTCTTAGACCAATCGAAAAATAGTTTATAAAAGTATACTTATTAAAAAAAACAGTTGTAGTACCAAGTAGGCCTTTGTATTTTTGCAATGATAGGACGAGACGGTGGCTTCAGATAATTACACGCCAAACAAGCAGAAAGTGAACCTGCTATATATCCAGCGCAACTATTCATACAACCTGAAAGTCATACCTTCAGTTTTCAAAGTTACACCCTGGTTAGGAATTTATATTCACTATTCAATATATACTACTTTCAAAAATATTAATCTGATATGATAAGAGATAATAAATCTCTTCTATATACTCAAAAAGATATAGGGTCTATTTTAAAAAATTTCTCTTTTTTTATATAGTGAGACCCATATAAATTTATGAATGTAATATAAGATATCTTATTTTCTATTACATAAGAAAATATAATCTCTACTACTTAAGATAACTAAATGCGGAAACCACTATAGTTTTTATTCATTTGTATAAAATGAATATAATATATGGGAAATGTAGTTATTGTGTTATAGGAAAAAAATTTCTTTTATTACAATGAATTAACATTATGTACTATAGAATTTCAAAAAAAAAATATATTATGTACTATAGGTAATAAATAGTTATAATTTAAAAATTATTTTTTTTCCTCAGAAGTTGTGGGCTGACATAACAGAAAGAGAAAAATCAATTTTAATATTACAACTATGTACTACCAATAGTACATAGTGTAAATTGGTTGCTTGAGAAGTTTCTTCTCCTACAACATGAGAAGTTAGAGACCCTAATATATATATATATATATATATATATATATATATATATATATATATATATATATAGGGTTTACATTTCTGCAGCTGTTGTACGTGCAGTAATCAAATACTTGTCATATATATACTTGAAAACATTAAATGCAGGGAATCATAACTATACAAAGGATAAAATCATTAAATGGAGGAAATCATAACCATACACCTGTCGTTGTTGTACGTAAAGCGGCTGCAGAATATATATATTTATATATATAGAGGTAGGATCATTTGACACCGGTGTCAAATTTCAATTTTGACACCTCATCTTAGAGCCGTTAGATAAAAAAAAAATCAATTGTGTCACATGCTCGCAAATCAGAGTCGTTGATTTTTTTTTATCTAACGGCTCTCAGATGAAGTGTCAAAATTGAAATTTGACACCGGTGTCAAAGGATCCTACCTATATATATATATATATATATATATATATATATATATATATATATATATATATATATATGGTAGGATTCTTTGATATCAGTGTCAAACTCTTAATTTTGACATAAAATCATAACTGTTAATTTTCGCCAATCAACGATTATTATTTATTGGGAATTAATAATTAATTAATGAGTTTGATTGGTGAAAATGATAACCATTGATTGGCGGAAATCAACGGTTAAATTTGGTATTAAATTTCAAAATTTGATACCAGTATCAAAATATCCTAACCCTATATATATATTTGTCTCTTTGTGATGTTTCTTACAAATTTTTTTTTGTATATCGACCTTAATTATCTTTTTGAGACGAGTCGATCCCTTAATAATTCTACAAATTTTAACTCTTTGATATATCGTCATAGTTACATCTTCTCACCACTCTCTAAAAATATATTTATTGAAAATCATACCCATATTCTTTTCTCATTATACTCTACCTGTGTTGCAGCATCTGTACTACACTTATTGATTGTTTTCTTACATCTTTTGAACGTTAGAAAAATTCTCCCTCGGGACACTTCTTATTATTACTTTTTGGACTTGCATTTAATTCAAAATATTGCTAATCGCCATCAACTAAAACCGCCCCTTAATTATGAGTGAAAATTAACTAATGAAGTGTTTCTATCCAGCTATGAGATTATATAAAGATAGCTTTAAATTTAATCTAATTATCAGAGAACAAACTATAGTTGAATAAAAAAAGTTTATGCTATACTTTCAATTAATATTTTTAATCGTCTAAGCTACTTTTTAAATTAGTTTTCAAAATATAATTTTCACAGGTTCACAAAATGCTAAAGAAGTGGCAGCATTGCATTCTCCTGTATCTAGCTATATATATATATATATATATCCAAGAATAATACCAATATATCTTTCAAAAAAAAAAAAAAAGAATAATACCAATATATAGCTAGGCAATTTATGTTGTATATATACCATATACAACCTACATATCGCTATGGGGACGGAGTGGTAGGAGAAAATCTCAGTTCGAATCTCACCAACACCATTTGGGGAAGGGCATAAGTACCGTAATCCTTGGACTCGCACCTGAACTCTGGATTAGTCTCATAGGCGGCTCAAAGAGTCGAACTCATGAAGATACCAGGAGATTCTGATTCGTCTCAAAAAAGATAATTATGATCAGTTTCTAAAAAAAAAAAAACCTACATACGTTTCAATTTAAACCATTCGTTTTGTTTTGCCCACTATCAACAAGATTACGACTGCATCAATGTATTCTGCAGTTTGAAACAAACAGCAGGAGCTGCTGGCATCCATTCAACTATGTTATATCTTAATTCAATCCAAAAATTTAAATTATTGAATAAAATTATATTAATAGTTTTATATTTTTTTAACACCATCCCTTCACACGAGATTGTATTAGACTTAAAGAGTGGATGATATTATCATATATAACCATTTACTCATGTCAATTTTAATACAATGTAAAACATCAATTCAATCAAAAAAATTAAACTTTTGAGTGAGACTTCCTTAATAATTTTATATTTATACGAGAAACTATCTTCGGAATAATATTTTACTCTATGTACTATATCCAAGATCTCTGCAACTGTAAAAGCAACTGCAGAGAAACTTAATCCAATGGACTCAATGCATTTCGATCAAATCAATTTAATTAGAAACACCTTCTGTTATTTATTATATGACTAAATGGACAGCGAAATGAAATTTTATAAGAAATCGGTCCCTATGCTCTTTAAACATATATCATATAAGCACTTGCAACGAGCTGTTTTTCTTGTTTATCTCTAAAGAACAAAACCGCAATAGCTGCAACTAAAAGCTAGCACATTCTTAACTAGCTGCTAGCTATGTATTATTCCTATCGAACCCAAAATTCCATCCCATCCATCGTCTTATTTTATTTTATTTTTTATGAAAAACAATATGACCAATTAAGAACACATTCAAATTGAATGAAGTTAGCAATTAAGATACAATTAACTAACACACTCAGGTTTAGTCACATAAAGTAATTTGATATTTAAGGACAAGCAATATAGATATCTCGCCTCATATTGACTAAAGAGAACAACAAGCTTGCACTTCTTAAAAATCACTTCCCATTAAATTAAAAAACAATAAAAAATTACTCCCCAAGCTTGCACTTCTTAACACACTCTGCAGGATAAGAGCAATTCTTGTGCATAGACTTTTATCCTTACATATTTCCTTTCAACTACAAAAGAAATGTTCAACTTTGTCACTGCTTCAGCACTGCATCAACATCTGATGATCAACTTGGGCACATTCATAGAACACACTATCTGGCAGGAAAGCTGAAACGTTCTCTATCATCTGAGCCGTGAAAACATCATCGAATGGCTCAAAATTCTCCATTGTTGAAACTCCATTACGTTTTTGTCCTTGAACATTACTAGGTTCCACTTGTGGAGGCATCACGAGTGTATGATCATTTTCACCATGAACAGTCTTCTTGACACAACCCTCATCAGAGTCAACCATGTAGCCACTATCACCGCCACCGTTTCCTCCGCCGTATCTTGAAGGATCCGGCGGCGATTCGGCATCCCGGCCGGTGAGCTTTTGCACCAAGGCCCTGAATTCTGAGGCACTGGTCTTTACCTTCATAGGGTTGGATATGTACACCACCTTGATGGGCTTGTTCTTGTTCTTGTTATTCTTGGGCTTGCTTCTTTTGGTTGGAGTCCTTTGTTGCACGCTACTCATTGAGTTGGTAATGATATCCATTTATGCTTCAATTGGGTGCTCCTAAAAAATATAACTTCACATGAACATAGATATAGGGTTATGGAGACTGGAGCAAGAAAGTTAGGGAGAGAAAGTGAAAGAAATTAAAGATGGAAAAAGTACTATGGGAAAATGGAAAATTAATAGGAAGAGAAAGGGTAGGGGTAGGCTAGTTTGATTCTCAGCCGACTTAGGCGCGTGAGGACAATGCTTTTGTAGCTGAGCGATTTTATTGGCTAGTTTGAATCTAATATGGGTGAGCATTGAATGCCAGAGGGTGGGAATTTACATAAAAAAAAAGGGAAAATTGAATGAATCATGTGTGTTGTATTATGCACGCTTTCTGTGTGCGGATGGGTGTGAAGGATCGTGAGTAAAGCCAGATTGAGTGTATCAATTATTGCGCCACGTGGCGAGAGAAGAAGGGCTCGTTGGTATGGTGACGTCATGGCTTCGATATACGGTGACGGCATCGGCATGCTCAAGTGGCAGTTGAGGTTTAACTTTTTAGGTCTCTCGGCTTTGAGGAAAAGGATCCACCGCCTCTCGCCTCAATGTTAAGATACTTGAATTGTGGTATCAATTTGTCGCTTGATTTTAATACTCTGTGGGATGATATATAGAGTTATTATATTTTATAATAATAAAAAGATAATAGTTTTCAGATATTTTAAATAAATAATAAATTTTATATAACTTGATATTGTTATTTTTTTTTTTCATTCCATTAGATGTCGAAAAATATATTTTTTTCAATAATAATTTTTTTTGAGATATTTTAATCGGTTCATTGCTTCGTGATTAGTCTGATTCGGGGGTAGGTATCAGAATTAAGACTTTAGACCATTCCCAAAGATGATATTGAAAAGAATCGAACATATGATCTCACTCCTACTTGCTCTGTTCCCTAACGCTAACGCAACTACCATTATTTGGTTCAATAATAAATTTACATCATAAAAATAAAAATATTTAAAATATAGCATTAAAATGAAAATAAATACTTTAGTCTATGTAAAAAGAAAATTCTAAAATTAAATATTTCATATTGTGTTTTAAAATTCTAATTAAGGGGAAATTTTATTATTTCTTTCTAGGTATTTTTATTACCCTCAAATTCATCAAGTAAAATAGAAAAGTTTATTTCCATTTGTCATTTCCAGCTTCATCCTTCACATGGCGTTAGTTTTTTTAAAAAATTCTTTACATACATAAAGTCTAGGAAACTTTCTTAAACTATTTGTGTGGCATATTTAGGTTTATTTTCTTCATATAGTACGTCAATATAGAAATGATCTAATGAGGCAAATATATGAACCAAAGCTTAATAGAAAAGTTATCATGAGTGGGTTTTTTACGAAGATTGAGAATTAAGAGAAGAAAGTAGGGCACGATGATTTTATAATTAGAGTAAACACAATTTTTGGTCTCTGGCAATGTCTACGAAATCCTTTTTAGTTCATGGCAATAAAAAAGGACTAAATTGATCTCTAACAGTATGTAAAAAGGGCCACGTTAGTGACAGAGGAGTTGACATAAGGACTAACGTTGCCCTTTTTCATAATTTTAGGGACCAATTTGGTCCTTTTTTATTGCCAGGGACTAAAAAGAATTTTGTAGATATTGCCAGAGACCAAAAAGAGTGTTACTCTTATAATTCTATTCCGGTATTAATTGATATCAGCTGTTGCTACCCAATATAGTTGTTCATAGAATTTGTATTTGGTTAGTTTTGATTTGTCCAATATTTGCTTATCAGCTTGCATATTTCAATTAGTGTTGTCGTTGTCCTCTGAAATTTAGTATTGATATTTTTGCATATACATTTGTATAAAAAACTTCCAATTAATAAAATTGAAATTGGTTTAGGAAACCAAACCAAGTTGGAACTTGGTGTAGGTGGTCGTTGTAACTGAAAAATTTCAAATAACTAGTAAATTACCTCTGCGATGCCCGCTAGAAAAAGAACAAAATATTTGTCGTCCGCCGTGGTTGGTTAATCGCACTGCAAACCTTATACTTACAAAAACATGTGTTGTTATCTTGTTCTATATTTCAGGTGGAAGAAACTACAACATTGACACAGAACTTTACAAATGTCAACCATAAACAAAAATATGTTATCCAGAGTGATCAATATTATGCAAATCAAATATAGTTATCTACTCGATGAGTTATGTAAAAAATAAATACGCCATAGTAGACTGTTAAAATGAGGATGGCTAAAAAAAGAATAATGCATACAACTTATTGCTAACTATAACAACCACTAATAAAATCAAGGTAACAAACAGACCAAGCAAATATAGAATTAAAAGATCAGCTTGTACCTATAATAAGAAAACGTTATTAATTCAGCGTCATTCTGTAGCAATTATTGGAGGGATGGATTCAACACATACCAAACATGTGATTTTATATGTTTATGCATTACCAGGGACATCCTCTTCTACCATAATATTTATGCCTACGATACAAAATGCAAATGCTCATTAAATAAATTATGCTAATATGTTAACACCCAGAAGTAATAATCTCAGCAAAAAATGGGTTATTTTTTTTTAGAACCCAAAAAACATTGTCTGAAAGGGATTTGAAAGCAAATTAACCAAATGGTCATGTGTGAGTCATAATTTTTGCTTACATTGGAACAAATGTGTCTAAACAGCATCAAATCAATACACATGCTAAAAACTTGTAACATTATAAAGAACCCACAATGATAAATTTTTAAAAAGCAACAACATACATTTGGGTCCACCAAAGACTTAAAGAATGAGGTGACAATAGTTTCGCTGCTTCAAACACTTGAAACTTGATATCTTGGCTCATTATATGACTCCAAATTATTTTTTTTACGTTTACCTTAAATAACATGGATTTTTCATTAAGAACGTTAAGTTTTCTTGGATAATGTTACAAATCAGCACCCTACATAAAAAAACTCCTTCAAAATTAAGTATAACTCGTGCATTGCACGGGAAAAAAAGAAATCTGTTTGTCTGTCTCGTAAAAGTTAATGCAAATCATAAAAATATATCTCTGCATTTTATTTAAATCAATATTGTTAGCTACCTAACTCCAACTTTTTGTACATATAGAGTTGGCAAATTTTTGAGTTATTATGTTTAATATAAAAGAAGAAGAGCAAAATTTTAATTTAATTACAAAAAAATATAGGCGGGCCAGTCCTCCGGACCGACTCCACTTTGCAACCTCTAATTGTCAGCATTATATACCAGCACGTAATCAATTTTTATATTTATCCACACGAAAAAGTTCTTATATTTGCATCTAAATTTTTATATTTTATCTCAGAGATGGACTTTCATTTATTACAATCAGATTTAAAAAATAATAATAAATAATTATTTTTTGCAAAGATTTGCGTCGTTTGTATTTGAAATTTTACAAATTTGAATTTACAAAAATTAAAATCAAATTTAGGAATTTAATTATAAAAGAAGAAGGATGAAATTTTAATTTAATTAGAAAAATTTAATTTAATTTTAATTTAATTTAACCAGTTTGCCACTTATAACTATTAGCATGTAATAGATTTTTATATTTATTCACAAAAAAGGCTCTTATAATAGCGTCTAGGATTTTATATTTTATCTCATAGATGAACTTTCATTTATTACAATTAGATTTACAAAATAATAGTAAATAATTATTTTTTGCAAGGATTTGTGTAGTTAGTATTTGAAATTTTATAAATTTGAATTTACAAAAATTGAAATCTGAATTAGGAATTTAATTATAAAAGAAGAACAATAGAATTTTAATTTAATTATTAAAACGTGTTGGCAGGCGGGGCGTGCAGGCCCTCTGGGCCAAGCCCAGTTTGCAACCTTTAACTATCACCGTTTTATATAAATAATTATTTTTTTTGCAAGGATTTGTGTCATTAATATTTTGAATTTTACAAATTTGTATTTACAAAAATTAAAATCAGATTAAGGAATTTAATTATAAAAGAAGAAGGATAAAACTTTAATTTAATTATAAAAAAGTGTTGGTTGGCCGGCCCTTCGGGCCGAGCCCATTTTGTCACCTCTAACTACCAGCATGTAATAGTGAATTACCCGTGCGATGCCCGGAGGAAAAAGAATGAAATTGTTGTCGCTGTCGTTGGTTAATCATCGCACTGATAAATCAACACATTTATCTTGCTATCAAGCTCTGAATAGTACAAAGGTGGAGCTATAAACATGAAGGAACAAAAGCAAACCGATTACTTGAGAAATATTAGCATTTTATATCAGCATGTAATATATATTTATATTTATCCACAAAAATGATTCTTATAGTTGCGTCTAGATTATTTTCTATCTATGTTTTCTGTAGTTAGACAATAAAAATAATAATAGATATAAAAAAGTGTTGGGGAGCATGGGCGCACCTCTAACTGTCAGCATTTTATATAAGCATGTAATAGGTTTTTATATCTATCAACAACAAAAAAATTCTTATAGTTGCATCTAGATTACTATCTTTCTATATTTTCTATATTTAGACAGTAAACAAAAGGAAAAAAAGTGTTGGCGGGCGGGGTGGGCCGGCCCTTCGGGCCGACCCCATTTTACCACCTTAACTGTCAGCATTTCATATAAGCATGTAATAGATTTTTATATCTCCACAAAAATGATTCTTATAGTTGCGTCTAGATTACTATCTATATATGTTTTCTATAGTTAGACAGTATACATAAGGAAAAAATATGTTGGCCAGACTAACTTGCCTGTTTGGCGGGGAGGGAGGGTCGGCCCGTCGTGCCGAGCACATTTTGCCACATATATCTGTCAGCATTTTTGTACCGGCATGTAATAGGTTTTTATATTTATCCACAAGAAAAAGTTTCTTATAGTTGCCTCTAGATTACTATCTATCTATGTTTTATATAATTAGACAATAAACATAAGAATAAAAAAAAATGTTGGTGCGCTGGGTGGGCTGGCCCTCCGGGCCGAGCCCATTTTGTCATCTCTAACTGTCAGCATTTTATATCAGCATGTAATATATTTTTATATTTATCCACAAAAATGATTCTTATAGTTGCGTCTGGATTATTATCTATCTATGTTTTCTGTAGTTAGAAAATAA